TCAGACTTCCAGTTGTTTCTCTCTCTTCAAAACTCCTTGTGTGGTAAAACATTCAATTCAGATGAGGCTGTAAATTAGCACCTTGTTCAGTTTTTTGCAAATAAAGACAGGTCCTCCTATGAACGAGGAATTATGAAGCTCACTGCAAGATAGCAAAAGGTTATCGAACAAAATGGGCAATATATCATTGATTGATTTTTGTTTTTCATGTAAATAAATGACCTTTGAAAAACATAGACAAAATACGTCATGACTTTTTCGACAGCCCAATATCTTCCTGAAAAGAAAAGGCTGAGATGTGAGCCACTATACAAATGCAAACCCAGGTTTGGTTTTGCCTCCTTTGAAGGTCACTGTGGCATTAAGTTTTTTTAAATAGTAGTTAATAGACTTGACCCTGAGAGGGAGAGCAAGCAAATGAGCATGTTCAGAAATCTCAGCTTCCCCTAGAGTCTGAATAAAGGCCTTCAGATTAAAATATTGTTGGGTGTGAAGTGATTTTGTCATGTGGGAGAATTTTAATTCCTGAGTTCTGACCTTTCTTGGAGGGATGTGGATATTGGTTTTTTTCCCAGTGAACTTGCAGGAAAACTGATGCTCAGTGCTGAATGAAAGAGCAGCAAAATGGGTCCAGTTCAGAATTTAGGGTGATCATCCATTCCTCTCCAGCTCTGTGGAGGGCAGAGATGGCACCAGCATCTATTAGTGACTCAGAAGCCTGGGGACAAGCAAGTCACTTCTTTTTCCTCTTCGTGTGTCTAGACAGAGGAAAGGACAGTTAGTTCTTCCTCCAAGAGTGGACAATCGATTCTAGTGCTTGGTTTGTTTACTCACACTAAAGCAGGTATCCAGATAGCCTGTCCCTGCTTCCCTGGGCCCCTTCTTCTGCTCCATGATTTTCTAATACTTAAACCTCAAGTCATCTCTCTGGGAGTTGGGGATCTGGTTAAGAGGAAAAATCTGTGTAAGGATTAAGGGCTGTGAACATTTTAGAATCTTTGAACCAACTTAGATTATTCAAATGAGTAACAGTGACAAGAAGCAAGTAAGTTTTCATTTCAAAGCATTTAAGAGACTATTTCCTTGAAGATTTAATTAGAAAACTTACTAGGTGTGGAAATGCTGAAGGATTACTTCCATTTTTAGTTTTCCTGTTAACTAAGCTATTTAATTCTGTGGGCTAGGGGAAGGAAACATAAGAAAAAGAGTCACCCTTTTTTATCTTTATCATTTTAAACAACTTCTTGGCTCCTGTGAGCCACCCTTGAGTATGGCAGCACAGTTCATTCATTCATTCACTAATTCAGTCATCCAGCAAAGGCTTTTAAATACTTACTACATGTCCTGCAGTGTGTTGGAGACACAGAGAGGATTACAACTTGATTCCTGCACTCTAGGGGCTCAACAGGGTACTGTTGGCAAATCCAGAAAAAGCCACTTGTTTCTGTCCCATCAGGGCAGGACTAGGGGATGTTTATAAAGGAGGGGGAGCCATGTGCTGGTGTTGGAGAAAGAGCAGGATTCCTGTATGTGAAGAAGTGCAGGAAGACTTGTAGGTGGGGGAATCATTACGTGAACAGACTCTGGGGCATAAAAGAGACTATGATACATTTGGGAAACTTAAGTAGTGGAGGCAGGATTCTGTGCCTGAGTCATTGCTGATTGGCTCAATACCACAAGGAGGAGAGGGAAGTGAGAGAAGCGGTAGTCACATCACAACACTTCTTCCGCCTATCCCTGACTGTTCTCCCTTTTCTTCTAGCTCCCACCTATTTCAACATGTGGAAAGATTTCCCAATAGAGCTTGAATCAGGAGCCCCTCCCAAAGTCAATAATTAAACGAGGAAAGTATGGATGAAGTAATCTTGTGTTTGTCAAACTGATGTCAGTAAACACAGCATTATGAGGCGGCAGAATGAGAAACTCAAGAATAGGGAAATTGAGTGCCATTCCTACAGTCATTTTGTTTTTAGTTGCACTTAGGGTACTAATTGGAGGTGCTATTTGATGCTTTTAAAGGGAACTCTGTAAATATTTACATATAAACTAGTAAAAACTATGTAAATATGAGTGGTGATAAATGACACACCCACACAGTCCAGAGGTTACTTTCAAATGCAAAGACATTTTTACCATTTACGATGGTTTTATATGAAAGTATGACACAAAGATTCCGTTGTTTTTTTTTTCTGAATAGGTGTCAGAACATTAAAGATAACACCATTGGCATTGAGGAGAATGGTGTCTCCCTAACCTGTCGCTTTCACGTCACAGTCTTCAAGTTCATTGGGGATTATGATGAAGTTCATCTTCACTGCGCAGTGTCACTCTGTGATTCAGAAAAGTACTCCTGTAAAATAGTAAGTTAGAGTGTAAAAAGTAAATGCCCAGCCTTATTTCTTGCTGCCCCAGTTTTCCCAACATAGGGATCACAAATGCCAGGATTTGTGTGACTCCTTAGAGTTCTTTATATCTCATAGGCCCTGGAAGTGGCTGAACTGGAATCATCCTCAGATGCTGAGGAGCAGCAGTCATCTTTAGTGGGACAATAAGAGAGAGAATATAGTGGAATGATATGCATTTACTCCTCTTCTATATCTCTGAAATGTCAATCTGTCATTGGTATATCACTAGATTAGGATTTCTCAAACCTTTGCACTAACTGATTTTGGACCAAATCAAATCATTCTTTGTAGAGGGGGCTGGCTTGTGCATTGTAGTACATTTAGCAGCATCCCTAGCCTCTACCCACTAGATTCCAGTAACACCTCCCACAGTTGCAACACCCAAAAATGTCTCCCGGCATTGCCAATTGTCTCTTGCGGGTGGAGGGATGGGGCAAAAGCAGCCCATTTGAGAACCACTGCACCAGATCCTCAAGGAGCCAGGCCACCTGAATCTGAAGTGAACAGTGAGGCCAAGCTCCACTCCACTATAGAAGCAAACTGCTGTGCTCAGGATATAGTTTATCCATGTTTTCTTTAGACTGGGATTATCCTACAGCTCACCCAGAGCTACACAGGGCCTGTGCCCTGGAGGGGCTGGTGGCATGAGATTACAAAGCAATCATCTCTTCCATGCCAGGTGTTCATCCCCACTGCGTATGGCTAATGTCCCTAAGATTTTATTGCACTGGTCCCTGGTCTCTAATCTTTAACATTCCAGCTTTCTACCTCACGCCATGTTTGCAGAATTGAGATGTGCATTATGGTCAGAGCTGCTTACACAAGCTACTGGATATATTATTGTCTGATGAGATACAACGATTCTCATTCCCGGGAAGGGAACCTCTTTGAATCTAATTCTAGTGTGGAGAATATATTTGATTCTCTTCAACATGAAGTCTAGTGTCCCTGTGGGCTCAGTCATCAAGACGGTATTGGTTCTAATTAACCTGAGCAGTGACAGTGATTGAGCCTGGAACCACTGCCTCTTCGGAGGTGGAAACATGGTGAAGAATAAGTTATCAGCTTAATTGTGTGAAATTTTCCCTCTGGTATTCTGTCTTTCAGAATTGCCCACAAAATTCCAGGATCGCCACAGATTATACCAAAGAGCCCAAAGAACAGATCATTTCAGTGGGACCTATCAGGAGAAAAAGTATGTATGTTCCCTAAAACGCACTATAAATGATTAAAACAATGGCATTTGAAGGCTTGAGCTGACTCTTGCCTGTGTTTCACCTGTGATGTGAATCTGGTGACTCCTCAAGGAGGGAGAAGACACCCGTTTGAGAAGATGGCCCACTTCCGTAATGAAATCTTTGCCTTAACTATTAAAAACTCACAATGGCATTGGGCTTTTCTTTTTTCTCTGCTGTCTTTAAAAGTCTTTCTCTTAGATAGGAGTTGAAGAGTGGAACTGTCTGCAGTGAATTTGACCAACTGCTCTTTTTCAGGGCTGGACTGGTGTGAGGACAATGGAGGGTGTGAGCAGATTTGCACAAGCCGAGTAGATGGGCCTCTGTGTAGCTGTGTGACAGGAACCCTGCAGGAGGATGGCAAGAGCTGCAGAGGTAGACACATGCCACCAACCCCCCACCCGGTGTGAAGTGATTTTGTCATGTGGGAGAATTTTAATTCCTGAGTTCTGACCTTTCTTGGAGGAATGAATGAAT